CAGCAAGACAAAACAGCAGCCCACAGAATGGGAAAAGATATTCACCAACCCCATATCTGACGGAGGGCTGATCTCCAAAATTTACAAAGAACTCAAGAAGCTAGCTTCCAAAACACCAACTAATCCAATTAAAAAGTGGGGTACAGAACTAAATAGAGAATTCTCAACAGAGGAATCTAAAATGTCTGAAAGACACATAAGAAATTGCTCAACATCCTTAGTCATCAGGGAAATGCAAATCAAAACAACTCTGAGATACCATCTTACTCCAGTAAGCAAGGTGGTCCTTAGCCAGAGGCTGTTAGGTGTGACCAACCTTGCCCTCTAGTTCAGGGTATACTGGTGACTTCTCACTTGCCTTCCTTGCTGCATGGGCCCAGGAATGGGTGGCATGGAGACTGAATACAGGAGTAATACTGCAAGGGAGGTTTTAGGAGGAGGGCTCAGTGCACCTCCTCTGGTCCTGGCCATTCTTCACAGAAATTGGTTCTGTTTTCACTGGCTAGGTAATGCTCGCTCCGGTAATCCTCTAATCCCTCAGATTGCAACACATGTGCAAATGACAAGTTCCTGAATGTTGCAGGATTCAGTAACTCCATAGAAAGAGTAAGACAAGAAGTATACGTGTAAGATGAAGACGGCAGTCAGTGAAAGTAAGTGAGCATAGTTGTCTGTGCATGCTTAGACATGACTCAGAGAAGGTGGCATGAGGGCAAACATACCAGCTATTGACAGGTAAGCCCTGCCAGGATCTAGGGGAAGAAAGTTGCAGTCCAAGGAGACCTGAGGCAGAAATAAGCTGGTAATTTGAGGAGGGTCGGTGGACTGATACAGGTGGAACCCTCAAGCAAGAGGTAGAGGAAGAGGAGGCCATTAGAGGTACTTGGGCCTTTGTGAAGGAGAGTAGATGTTAGCAGGAGTAGTTAGAGGATGTAATGGCTTGAGTGATGCTCTATTTATAAAAGATCTGTATGCTTTATTGGAAGAAAGGTTGTGGGGAATCATGGAGTTAATTCTGGGAGTAGGGAAACCAAGTAGAAGGCTGTTGGAGTAATCTTAAGCACAAAAGAATGTTGCTTGCATAATGGAAGTATCTGCTCCCACATCCATGCTATGGCACTATACTTGTACATATCATCTTGTTCTTAAGAGCTACAGGTATGCAGTAATTTAGAGAACAGTCTTCGGGCCCAATGGGAAACCTTCATGATGGGAGCCTTTGTTTATAAGCCCAGTCTCTGGAGATACTTCTGTAGACCTTGGACACAAAGTTTTCTGTGGGAGTAAATTCAGCCCTTAAATAATGGAACTCACTAAGAGAGGAGTTACAGGGATTGGTGGAGGCATCTCTAACCACTGCCCCCCATACCCTGCCCACGTAGCATGAAGCACACCTAGTGACGAAATGTCAGACTGTGAATGAACATTTGTGTAAAGTTCTGGGACACTAGGGCTGTGGACTCACAACCCCATGCCTTTCACGTTCTCTGCTTCTGGGTCGTGCTCTTTCCCAGTGATAAATGAATTCCTTATCAAGGTTTCAGTGTACAAATTTTTCAGTTCTAGATGCCCAATTTAGCTCTGGTTCCTGTTCAGAGACCCTGCAGGAGGTAGAGGGTGTGTGATGTGGGATGGCCAGCCTGAGACCTTCCATTCCATCCTCTGGCTCAATAGGTAGTGGGGCTTCCAAGGTGTGCTGTTGTATTCTCACAGATGCTCAAGCACATCCTAGTTTTAAATCACATTTTTTTTGGACATCCTTCTTTTCTATAGCTAATTGTCAGCATTAGATGTCCTAAGGCTTCTCCTTTGGGCATGCTGCCCCTGAGCTGTGTGTATCTCAGTTGTATCCAAGAAGGCCTCCACCTTGGCTGTCTTATGTGTTCATAGCACTGGTTCTGCTCTTTTCATTGGGATCTTATGTATAGGCATACAGTACATTTTTAATTTTTGGTGTCCTGTCCTTGGCAGAGTCTCTCAAGTGTCCTTACTGCTTTGGAGCCTGCCTCTTGACCTAGATTCTTATATTTTCAGCTGAGGCTCTGTTGATGAATTCAAAAGTACATGCATTTTATCACTATGCTAAGAGGAAAAATGAAAGGATTCATCTGTCACAATAGAATATCCTGGGCTGTCACTTTGGTAAAGCTGTTTTAGGAGGTGGGACTGTGCCTGTCCTCACTTCAGCCTGTCACAAAGGATATTTCAGGCCAAGACAGGAACCTATTAAGCTTTTTCTACATTATTCTCCATGTGGCTTTGATGACCAACTAGTAGCTGCTGGTTACCTAGTCCTTACCCAGCTTTTGTATAACAGTTTGTTCTAACTTCTTTTCAGGTTTGTCTACAGATTTCCTTAGCTGTACTTGAGTAGGGCAAAGGGCTCATTTCTCCGGGTAACCACAAGTACTCCCTGCTCCTGTTTCCTTTTCCTGAGAGGCATTTCCTGTTCGACACAGTGTCTTGGACTCCAAAGACCTTACTTGGTTCAAATTTAAGCACAGCAGTGGTCCCAGAAGAAAAGGAACTGTTTCTAACTCTTCTGTAGCATTTATCACATGAAATCTACAGTAGAAGGCCTGCCCCCTCTCTCAGATTGCTTTGCTAAATGCTGCATTAATGTTCTGTGTGTGCTCACACTCATACTTATCATCTATATTCAGCTCCAGCCAAAGATCTTCTGGGCTATAGAACTGTCTATCTTCTTTTAGAACCAGTGAAAACTGACCCTATGTCTTTCTGTCCAGAATTGAGCTCATCTTCTGTTCTTCTCATACATCTACCTCTGCATCAGCGCTTCCGAGCTGAGAAAATGCTCACCATCTCTCCATCCACTAGAAACCTTCACATCGTCATCTCCTTCATCCACTGACTCTGCAAAGTGTGTTGGTTTCTCTCCCCAGAGCTCTGAAATCTGTTCTTGCACCCTCCTCAATTCATACCCTAAGTAATTGGGTCCTCTCCTCCCTATGGGGCCTGGAGGTGATAGATGCCTCATCCTGTTGTGGGCACCTCTGTCTGATAATTGGTGACTATCCTGCCCAGACCTAAGTAGACAGTTGAGTTGAAACCTTTTTTAATGTCATCTGTTTCCTGTATGTCTTTGATACTTACCTGGAGTTCTTTTGTGCTTTGTTTTCAGGGTGAAATGTAGATTCCTTATGTTTACCTCCAGCTGAGGTGTTCAGATGGCTCCTTGCATCTGCTGACTCCATCCTTGCTTGCTTCTCCCGGAGCTGACCCACCATGACTTCGCTCATTTGATAATGCTCACATTTGTCATCTCTCTGTCCTGATACTGTTTTATTGCTTGCCACTTATTCTTGAGTCTTCTACTCACATTTCTTTTCTAAGAAGCTTCTCCAAAACTCTCGCCATCTACTCTAGGACCAAAGACATGCTATTCTGTGTGTGTGTGCAATGCTCACATATGACCTAAGAGTGTTGATTCTGGATGTGACACTTTCAGACAGACACTTGCTAGACTGAGAAAAGTGAAGGCCTCTAATCACCACGTAGAAGAATTTTTGGTCATAGAATACTACAAACTATGACAGTCTCCCTTTGAACATATTAAATTAATTAAATACTTAGGAAACCCATTCATTTTATTTTTTATCTTTCAGTTCCAAGATGTAAGTCTCTGAAAGAAACAGACTTAATTAAAACGACGGTGTCAGACTGTTACTGCTACAATCAAAATTGGCAAATAGAGTGGACATATATGTGGTCGACTGTGCAGGTTAGGGCCTACTTTTATATCACGTCTTAAGAGTGTGGAATTAAAATGCATCCCCTTGGGGTTTAAACATTTATTTTGTATGACACACAGGTGATGTAAAAGGATGAGAGATAGCTTAAGGGGCATATGGGGGCTCAAGGAGGTGTTATGTGGGAGAGGACATTAACTCCTCTTACATCTATGCAGGCTTTCCCCCGACCATTTCTAATAAATACGACATCAAGTCAGTGGTTCTCAACCTGTGGGTCACAACCCTATGTGGGGTGGGTCAAACAACCCTTTCACAAGACCATTAGAAAGCACTGATATTTATATTATGATTAATAACAATAGCAAAATTACAGTTATAAAGTAGCAACAAAACAATTTTATGGTTGGGGGTCACCACAACACGAGGAACTGTATCAAAGGATCACAGCATTAGGACAGTTGAGAACCCCTGCTCTAAGTGAACACAAAGAGGCAGTAATAATAAAAAGTGATGAGAGCACACATTGAGAATGTGACATTTCAGAGGGGCTTGGGTCAAGAGAATTGCCTGTGGGTTGACTGGGGAAGGAGTGCTGTAGGCTGAGGGATAGTCTGCCCTTGTCCCAGGACATGGTGGCGACTTCTCCTTTCTGGGAGAAGAAGATGTTTGAGGCTCATGTGCTTTCTTGTGCCACTGTGCCCAGAATCTTGTACATTTTTCCAGCGAGCTTTTGGGACAGGAAAGCTGCGGTAATCCATACCGCACACCCTCTTCATTCATTCTGCTCTTTTCACCAAATGACTGACTTCACAACTCCAACACCTCCTCCCCGTCTTCATTCTCGGCTGATGATTCTTCTACTTCATTAAAAATGGGGAGAAATCCTCTGTGGGACAGGAGTTGGAAAGATTGTAAGAGCCAGAGAGGGTGAAAAATGTCAAGGAAACAAGGCCTTCTAGACATGACAGGACTGATGCTCATATGAACTCACGGAGACTCTGGCAGCATGCACAGGGCCTGTACAGGTCTAAGCCAGATGGGGTTCCGACATCGAGAGGGGAAGTAGACGCATGCCCCCATATCCACCTGAGAAGCTAGCTGCAATTGACAACTGCATAAAGAAAAGTTAATTTTCTCCACTGGGGTTTCACTGGGTATACAAACCACACATAAGGGCAGGCCCCATGTCCAGCAGTAGAAGGGCAACACCAAATGAATTCAATGATTTTTTTATGGGGTTTTAAAAAAATTATTATTCTTATAGGTCTTTTACTTATGTATCCTGTTTTCCAATTATGGGTTTTTATGGCATTTGTGTCTGTGAATATGTGTCTCTAGATGGGTTTCTTGTGCATTTTTATTATTTATTCATTTATTTTTAGATGACTGCTTATTTTCTAATCAGAGGGAAAAAGGGTGTGGATTTGGGTGGGTGGGTGGGTGAGGAGGATCTGGGAGAAGTTGTGGGGAGGGGAAGCCATGATGACAGTGTGTTGGATGAGAAAAAAATTATTTTCAGTTTTAAAAAAATGTAAAGATTGAGGTCTTGATGGGAAAGAAAAAGAAAAATGGCCATAATCAGAAACGATTGTACGCTAGCTTTTTTCTCACTGTCCACCCACCTGTGCGCACCCGCCAGCACATGCTCTCTCCCCTCCCTGCCTGTGGGGACAAAATGTCAGCCATGGAGGAGATGTGTATGTTTGAGCCCTTGACGGGTACACTGGGTCATACCCCCATCCTTGCCTGCTCACGTCATCCCCAAAGCACTTCCCTCTCCACTGCATGATTCTCACAAAGAGGTGACAGTAGTACTTTTCCATTTGGAAAACGTCACAGTTCTGTAGACTCCATTTTTTGCTCTAACTCTTTTTATTTCTCTACTTCTCACTGTAATACAATCCTTTTTAAAGTTGATGCCTGCAGCCTACAGTTCTCCCATTCTCTAAACACTTCAGTCAGTTCGACCTTCACACCAAGGTCCCTAGCACCTCCATGCTGCTAACTTCAGTGTGACCTCAAACTTGTGACCTATTGTCTCCAAGTCCCAAGTGGTGGGACTACAGCCACATATGCACTGTCACACCTGGTAAAACATTCACTCCCCAAGGCATCTGTAAGCTAAATGCAAGTGTATGATGGTCTAGCTGCTCAGGACCAGAACCCTAGCCTGTGCATCAGAGCCGTCTTCCCTCAGCGATTCCTGAGTTCTCACCCTCTGTTAGAGCTATGGGGAAGGTTGTGATTCTGTTCTTGTTTTGTAGGTGACAGTTACCAGTCGAGGCCTGCTCAGATTTGTCTATATCACAGGAAATCATAATTGCCAGCATCCAGAAGGCATTCTGTCATTCATCAGATGTGTTATTCATAACTTTTGGGCACCAGAGGAGTCTAACAAAATGACCATGCTCATCACTCCATACGGAGAAACCGTATGCTTCTCTGTGAAGCCCATCGGGAGGGTGTTTACCTACACAGTAAGCATGGATCGAAACAGTAAGTCTGTTGTCATCATAGTTGACTGGACTTTCATTAAGTTGACAACTTTATATGCTGACACAAAACATCTTTGGTGTTTGTATCTTTTTATTTTCCAGTTGTGGATTTCAAACTCCTCCTTGTGTTTATGGCAGGCATTTTCCTCTTCATTTATGCAAAGACTTTGAGCCAGTAAGTGTCCATTTTTGTAACTGTAGTGTTCTGATTCAAAGGCATATACATTGTTTCTGAATCTGTGTTGAATATTTGCACACCACTGCACATTTTTGTTTGTGGTTCTTCTGGGTTTACAGATGATGAGCTGAAGGCAGCATATAATCATCTGCTTGCATGGCAGATACGTACATGGTGCAAAGTACATCATGTTAGTACTTCTCTTCTTATTTTGTCAATTATAGAACTCACATCCATTATCACTGGACTTGTTCTTAGGAGTGCCAAGTTTATGCTCAGTTTTTTTGATGCCAGGTGCTTGCTGTCTTACTGCATTAGATTTGTCTCCTGGATTGGTGGGTCTGACTTTGGATATTAGATGTGACAAATACTTGCTTCTTGGATGCATGTGGTACCCTGATGTTTTGTTTCTTGTAACTTAGCTTATAAAAACCACTCTCTTGTCAATATTTACTTATTAACCTGCCCAGCCTGATTTGTACCAGTATTTCTCCCCCATTCTTACTATTGCTCACTTTTGAGCTCTTCTTTAGGGTGTAGTCAGGTGGTCAGGTAGTATTGTCTGCCAGCTTTTCTGACTGGATGATGGGTCTGTAGCAGGAAAAGGAAAGCCTAGATGCTGATGAGCCAGGCTGATGTCCTGAATCCTCTAGCAGCTGACTCACTTGGAAAAGTGTTTTAACTTCTTGATATATCAGTTTTGCCCTCTGTAAGATTTAGCTGTGGGTATCTGGAAATTCTCAGGCAAGTGCTTGCTATGTGACAGGTGCATATATTGTTGGATCACATTCTGAATATAGAAGATAACTCACACATTTAGCAGCAGTCTATTTACTGAAACTCTCAGATTGCAATTTCAATGTTAGCTATAAGAAATGTGGCTAGTTTTTCTTTCTTAATATTCCTTACTGGCAGCTATTGCCACATTGAACATTATGATATTTTTTCAGTTTTTATTACTGAAAATGCTGCTTGGTGTTGATGTGGCCTTTTTCTCTGTCTTGACAGAAGTCCTGCTTTCTATTACTCTTCGGGTACCGTGTTAGGTGTTCTAATGACACCAGTCTTTGTCCTTCTGATGGCTAAGAGATACATTCCAAAGGTAGGTATCTTATATGCAAGTGAGTAAAAAATGGGAACCAAGCTTTTAGAGATATTAAAAAGTTAATCAAAATTAATTCATATTGTGACACTTCCTAATTCAACTGTGCCCCACTGCTGTACACATTGACCTTAGAATGTGTCTGTTTCTGGACTTTGTGTTTATTAGTAATATGTAAGATTATACTGTTTGGTGATGTTTTTGGTGCCCTTTTTGAAATGTATCTTGGGAGAGTGATCCTGAGTCTTTGGGGCTTTATATAATGGTGGTACTTCATCTGGCTTCTTTGTTCTCCTTGTTTCTCCTCTATGCCTTCAATAAAATAATGTCCCAAAGAAATAAGTATTGATTCATGATTATAATTTTTGTGTTAACTGTGGTTAAAGCTCTAAATACCAGCATTGTCTTGATATAATTTTTACTTTTTAGTAATGCTCTTCAACTTTAATGTACATGTTAGCCAACTGAGAGGCTTGTTAAAATGTAGATTGTAGTCTAGCAGTGGGACCTAAATCTACATGCCAGTAAGCTCCTATGTGAAATGACTCTCCTCTGATGACCATGCCTTGAACAGTGAGACTCAGAGAGTAGTAGATAAGTACTTAACTTTGACTTGACCTAGACATTTCTAGAACAAAGAATCTGTTTGTTTGCTTCTATTTTTATGAGAGTGAATGAGCCAATATACATATATATTGTGTCATTTATTTTCTTCCGCACACAGTATAGCACGTTTGGGGCGCTAATGATTGGTTGTTGGTTTGCTTCAGTTTATGTTGTGTGCCAGTTGATGGAAGATCTGAAGTGGCTGTGGTATGGAAACAGAATATATGTATTAGGTAGGTAAATACACAAAAGAACCGTCTATCATTGGTCAGGTTGAAAAGTGCAAGCAGAGGACTTCTGACATGTTTTTCTCTCCATATAAATCTTCATTTGATTTAAGGAGAGGTGCAATTAAAAATAATATTTTATTTCATTCCCATAGTTAGTGTTTTAGTTCATTTAGATCCCATTCTAAACTACTTTCCTTTCTAATCATCCTTAGTTTTTTTGTACAAATCCTCAAAAGAGTAAAAATACTTCAGAAATGTGGCCAAACTCTAGCCACATCCAAGCTGAGCTGTAAATGCCTTTAAAGGTGGCTTTCCCTTCACCTCTCAGTTCTCTTTCTTTAGGGATCCCGTATAAAAGGTGGGAAGGATAACTAATGGAAACTTGACTTTTCAGAAACCAAGAAGAATGTTACCACTTCATCCCCTTGTTCTGTGTTACAAGATTCTTTGATTTTGTTGGGAAATAATGGGAACTGGAACCTCATTGGCATCAGATTTCACACATAAGGACAATGTTGCTAAAACAAAAACAATTCATCTTAAACACTTTGTTTTTAGCCTACTTTCCTATTATATTAATATAGTTGTGATTTACCTGTAATATGGAATACCCCTCGAAGTTCTTTACTCTTTGTCTTCAAAAAACAAGAGCATTTTATATATAACCAAATAACTATTAATTACTGTTGTTAGTGCTAGGGATGGTACCCAGGATGGCATGTAAATTCGGCATCTGTTCTGCCACTGAGTTATATCCTTAACCTCACTCGTAAATATTAAAGATTAATAATTGCATAGAATCACCTATTTCCTGGGTCATATTATGATTTCCAGTTACCCTTGCTACCTGGCTGAATAACCTGGATGCCATGCTGAGCCTCTGTAGCATTGGGTAGACCCGATAACTCTTGGTCCATTATGGTTCCTTTGGTCACAGAGGTGTGCTGGAGAAGCCGAGTGAGGCAGCCTGTGCCTGTTTTGTGGCATCATTTAACATTTCTCTTCTGCATCTACTGCAAATAAGAAATTGAACCTCAAGGGTTGCTTAGAAACAGATTAAGCATGTGGTGGGAATCATTAGAAGTGATGTAGCTTCCCATCTAATGGCACTGGAACCTTCAGTGTCACACCATTGGTAACGATGTATTGCGTGTGACTAGCAGAGAGTGGCTACCTGCTCCTCTATAAAATAACATTCACCTTTAGTGACTAGAAGATAAAAATTAAAAGTAGGGTTTATAGCAGTGTGCGAAATCCACTGGCTTACTTTTGACCAAAGCAACCATGAACCATTTGTCCACCCAGGTTATTGGACTTAAAAAGACTTGACTATGCAATATTGTAATTATCAGTATATATCTTAAATTATTACATGTCAGCCTATTGGGCTGGAAGGACCACTCAGTGGTTTAGAGTACTTGCTGCTCTTCTAGGCCTCGAGTTTATTTCCAGCACATAGATTGGTTAGATTACAGCTGCCCATAGTCCAGTTCCAGGGCATTGGCGTCTTCTTCTGGCCCTTGTGGGTACCAAGCACATGTAAACATACAGACAGATAATTTTAATACACCTTGAAAAGGCAGCCTGTGCACTTCAGTACAAGGGCGTTTTTTTCAACCTTCATTAGGAAAAGGAAATATTTCTTGTTTTCTTCATTTTTTAAATTGAGGTTTTCTAATAGATGTTATTTTTCAATCAAGGCTCTGCCAGATATTCCACATAGGTTCTCAATTTCAGGTTTAAATTATTGCCCTTCTTCTGTATCTCCAGGCTACATCTTGGTTGTTGGGCTTTGTAGCTTTGCCGCCTGTTACAGGCATGGGCCTCTCGCTGACGAGTGGAGCAGAGGCCTTCTGATGTGGACACTGCGGTTCCTCTCCCTGGTCCTGGTCTACACCGGTGTGGCCGTGCCTCTGTTTGCCTATGCTGTCATGGTCCTCCTCCTGTTTTCCTGGAGCCTGCGCTATCCACTGAGAGCATTCAGCTATCTGAGGTGGTGGGTATCTTTTCTATGACATTTTGAGCTCTGGTTTTATTTATTGGTTTAAGAGATACTTTGGTTACATCTTACAAGTAATCATGTTTAGTTTGGAAGCTTCACTCTCAAATAACAGGAGGAAAAAGAGCTCTAAGCTTTACTCCCATCTCCATTGAATTCAAACACCAATTACTAAGTAGTTAGAGCTCACTAAAACCAGTGGCAAAATTGCTTGGGCTCCGAGTTGCCTAAATTTCTACCTTTATCATACATTTCTTTTCATTAGAACCAAGATTGCTATGGTGATATTAATTGTGCTCATGAGATAAGAATTGGGAGAAAATGTATCATAAATTATTAGTAGGAGTTATTCAAATCATTTTATTAAGGGCTGGCTTTGTTTTAGGTTTTAAATTAAGGCTTAGGCTTTGTGAAGATACAAAAGGAAAAATGAGGTAACTTCTGCTGACACAATATGTTCCTTAGTATATAGATCTGTGTCAGGAGCACAGATGGAGATGGCACTGAGATGTGGGCATACATTTATATATCTTCTGCCTTTCAAAAGAGGTGTGTGTGTGTGTGTGTGTGTGTGTGTGTGTGTGTGTGTGTGGTGTTTGGTATGTGGTGTGTATGTGTGTCTGTGTGTGTTATGGTGTGTGCTATGTGTGTGTGGTGTGTGGTGAATTTGGTGTGTGTGTCTGTATATGGTGTGTGTATAGTGTGTGTCAGTGTGTGGTATATGTAATGTGGTGTGTATGTGTGTGGTGTGGTGTGTATAGTGTGTGGTGTGGTGTGTGTGCTGTATGTGTGGTGTGTGTGTGTGTGTGTGTGTGTGTGTGTGTGTGTGTGTGTCAGGAGTGGTGTGTGTGTGTGTGTGTGTGTGTGTGCTATGTTTGTGGGTATCCAGAATGGCCAGAAGAGGGCATCAAGTCCTGTGTAACAGGCAGTTGCAAGCCACCCGATGTGTGTGCTGGTAACCATACTACAGTCCTCTGGAGGAGCAGTTGGCATTCTTAGCCACTGAGCTGCCCCTTCAGACCCCACACTTAAGTACCCTGTAAGTATGAAAATAATGCTTGCTCAGGGACTAAAGTGGTGTGAATCTATAAATGACTTCCTGGAAAGATATCATCGAGTTGACTCTTTAGTAATGACCCATAATGACCCTTGGACAAATGCTTTCCAGACAAAGACCCACATACTGCCATCATCAGGTACCAGTGCTGTCAGTACAGTGAATGAGGTGTGCTATGACCAGACAGGGGAGGTGTGGAATCTAGTCTGGTGCTGTATACAGGGGTGGTGGGTGGTGGGGTGGGGACAGTGGTCAGGGGCTAACCAGTATGTATTTCCATTAGTTCTCTCTGATGCCTGCCTACACAGAATACATAAATCCAAATGCTTTGGCCAGGACAGGAGTGAGGCAGTGGGAAATTCTGCACTGCACCCCCATCGAAAAGGCAGTAGTTAAAACCAGCAGGAGCTGATTGTCGCTATGTGTATACGTGGATCCTGCTTTCAATCTGATATTCCAGGAAAATTGCAAATGTAGACTGGAATTCAAATGTAATTCTTACAGTACAATTGGCAGTTAATCTAATGAAAAATAAAAAATACACCTGACAAATGAAAATTAAACTTGAGGCAATGAGCAATTGTTGGCTGGTGGGATAGACCCATCTGCTTTCTGGCATAGAGGGTTGGGAATCGGGGAGGCTCCTACAGTAGAAGACATTCTTCGACATTGCTGTGGTTCAGGCAGACACTGATAGAGACTTGTAGCAGAAGAGTCAGATTAAGGCTGGTAAAGGGAGTTAATAGATGTTTAGTAAATGGTAATGAGGAAGGAGACTCCATGGTGACGGGTAGTTTATGGACCTGGTGGCTACCTGTGTGGCAGTGTCATTGGAGTAAAAGCATCAGTGACAGTACAGGGTGCCCATGTAGAGGGAAGTGACAGGCTAAAAGATAGCAGCAGTACAAGTGGGAGACATTGAGACCAAGGGGCTTGGATCTTTGCCCTGATCTGGGATTATTAGAGACCCCTCCACCAGGAGGAGCCTGCAGGCCATCATCTTTGCCAGTCTGTGGCCCAAGGAACCCAAGGTAGAGTTCCTTTCTCCTTCCCTTAGCCACCCAGCTGTCTTGCCAGTAGCAAGTATGTCTCATTGATGAGGGATGTCCTTCTCTAAGCTGTGAATATGTGTTTCTTATTGGTTGATGCATAAAGCTGTTCAACCAATAGACAGGCAGGATTTAGCCAGGCAGCAAATGTAGACAGGGCTACCAGACTAGGAGAATTCTTGGAAGAGGAACACACAGAGTGATTATACAGGGAGACGCCATGTAGCTACTGGGAAGATAGGTTGCCTGGGCATTTCTGGTAAGCCAGGACTACGTGGAAATACATAGAATAATAGAAATGGGTTAATAATTTAGAGAGAACTAGCCAGTAAGAAGCCTGAGCCATAGGCCAAACAGTTTATAATTACTTTGTATGTTTATTTGGGACTGAACAGCAGCAGGACCAGGCCAGACAGAAACTTCTGTCTACACCTCATCATTTGCATAATGGCTCCATTATGGATCAGTGGGGCATTCTGTAACAATCCATATGTACTGTTATGCTGTCTGCTTTAAATTTTGCTAAAGTGTAGTTATATGAAAACATAGGGAATAAAGTAGGAACTTATAAGTTAAACAATAGACCAGACAAAGAATGTCTGGACATTTGCATCAGACTTTCTCATTTGCATAAAGCTGTTTACATATTACATATATGTTCCTGATTCTTTGGATTAGCTGATGAGCAATTTGCATAAATGTCCCATTTCATCTGTACAGTGACTAAGAGACAGTGATACTGCATTCCTTCCTTTCATGTGACACAGTGAGGTAGAGCTGAGAAAGGATTGGCCCATTCAGGCTGTGAGTGCACCCTTAAGCTGGGTTGTGCCGGGTATTCAGAGCCTGGTTCTTCTTGTAGGAAATCTGGCCAGGTATTCAGAAGAGGAGAAAGAAACAATGTCACTGGTTCTGCAGTCCAGTTCATCAACCCTTAGACAAACCTTAAGAGGGAAGAGATCTTTATGGTCTCAGCCCTCAAGAAAAAAAATGTGTGTTTTTAAGCCCTGGGAAATCTCTACTAAGTTATATCTGAAGTCACCTGCAAACATTTTTAAGACTTCCCCAATGTGGCACAACTGTTATCAGGAACATGTCCTTATTAGCCTTTTGAAGTCCTAAAGTACATATTGTTACGTTATTATGCTATTTATAACTTTTCTGATTGGAAAAGAAAATCTAGTCCCTGGCTTCTTAGTGTGTATGTAACCAAAGAACTAATAATGTAAGTTCTTTTCCATACAGGATCTTTATGGTGCTTCCTCTCCTTGTCGGGTTAGTCAGAGATTCCACCACTAGGTGGAAGTGATAGCCCACAGATCAGTTTCTTGTAGTAAGCTGTGCATGTCCCCGTTGGTCTCCATAAAAGGACATACTGAAAGCTTGTTTCTGTTTGTGACAAAGACAATCAGGAGAGTAAGGAAGCCAGAATTTTTGTCTAGTTGTGTGATTAGAACTCACTAAATATTTAAAATCAACATCTCAATCAGAAATAGATTCTTAAAGGCCTTAAGACATTACTATGATGGTCAGGTAAGCAGGGAAACACAGTAAGCCAGTGCTGCCTGTTTTCTCTCCTCAGTCATAGGACAATGGAAAGCACAGGGTGATGTACAGGAGTTCATGGATATTATTGTTGATATTTAAGATACGTATTCTTGTATGCCATAAGGATTGGAGTCTGGCAACCAGATATCATGTGTTTTAGGAAAATGAGGTCTTGGTTCGCAACAGAACCTCTGGTGGTGAGGTTTCTCACAGACGATGAGTACAGGGAACAAGCTGAGGCTGCAACAGCCAGCGCTCTTGAGGAACTGCGCCGTGCCTGCTGCAGGCCCGACTTCCCCTCCTGGCTGGCTGTCTCCAGACTCCAGGCTCCTAAAAAGTAAGTCCTCCTCTGGCCACAGCTCATGTTCTGATTGATTTGAAAATCACACAGTATTTTTGAGCACACATTGCCACTTAGAAGCAACCATTTCTCTTGATTACATCTATACCAAAGTTGTGGGAGAGCTGCTAAGGTGTGAGAAAATATGCAACTTGTATGGCATGTAGGTGGAGCCAGGCATTGACACTGAGACTTGAGCAATACGCCTCGCTCACAAGGTACAGGGAAGAGATGAGTAAGTGACTGGATGCCCCTGGCATGCTGGAGCTTCATAAACCTGCACGCATTTACACCTTCCCCTGCGTAGCTGCCTTCGGAAGACTGCATAAGCCAGGCTCTGTGCTGGGTGTAAATGCCTCCCTCAGCTGACACAGTCAGACTTAATTAAAAGGGATAATCATTGAGGCACACTTTCAGATAAACCTCTGTGACAACAGTAACTATTTAAAATTTCTTAGATTTGCAGACTTTGTTCTTGGAGCGAGCCACTTGTCACCTGAAGAAGTCAGCACACATGAAACACAGTATGGCCTTGGGGGTGCCTTCTTGGAAGAGCAGCTCTTTAGCCTTCATACTGACAGTCTACCAGCAAGTTGACTATCAAACAAGAGATCCGGGAGAAGGCAAAGATCCTATTCCAGTGGGCAGAACCATCGATGGACACTGGGAAAAGTATTCGCTGCAGAGCAAAAGAAGCCATATGATAAGGAAAAGCACACATGTTGAGAACTTACTCTTGGCAGCTCACTTACTGTGCAGTCAGTGTCATGGAGACTCTAAGAATCATTGCCACTTGTCCTGAATGAAGACCTCTGTTAGAACAGTGGCATCTGTTCATTAGGACCAGTAAGCAAGGTCAGATAATGTCCCTGCACCAGGCACTAACGTCTTGATGCCTTGAGGCTGGGTTAAAGGTTGCACTGCTCTCCCTCCATTTCTTATTATCAGTGTTTTCTTTGTTTTCCTTTTCTTTTCTTTTTTTTTTTTTTTCTTTTTCGAGAAAGGGTTTCTCTGTGGCTTTGGAGGTTGTCCTGGAACTAGCTCTTGTAGACCAGGATGGTGTCGAACTCAGAGATCCGCCAGCCTCTGCCTCCCGAGTGCTGGGATTAAAGGCATATGCCACCACCACCTGGCTCTTACCAGTATTTTCTAAAGTGCAGTCCACATGATACTGGTCATGGCTGGTAAAGGGTTCTTCTCATGCCAGCCGTGATTGACTCAGAGTCACACATACTGCAGGTTTCTCAGTCTTCAGTGGTATGATGGCTTTGTGGGGCTTCTGAAAGGCTTTGAACCTATTGACCATAAACCATTTTTTTCAGGAGACTGATAGCTTCAGAACACGTTTAGAAAATGCTACTGATGTGTAATTTAGGTTTGAGAGGTGTGTCCTCAGTGGTCTTGGCAGCATTCCAGCCCTGTGCATCCTGAAACTCAGGTAGAAGATGCATTCTTCAGATGTAGGTTCAAGGCTGGCACCCTACAGCCCTGGTCTTACTGGGTTGGTGCCTCCTTTTTGTTTTGTTGTACTTGTTTTTTAAATAATCGCCAATTAGCTACAATAACGATGAAAGAGAAACATTTCTTGGGATTGTATTTAATGTTTTGACAAATTTTTATATGCAGATTAAAGCTACAATTACTATTTGTACTTTTTATATATTGAAATTGACATTTGTGACATTTTGAGTTTTATTTCTTTAAACTGCTTTTATATGTTTGTAATTATTTCTCACAAAATAGATTTTTGATACTTTATTTTGTAGAAAGCAAATGTTTCTTGATCCATGATAAACTCCAGCATGCAATGAGCCACTAACTGTGCTTTGACCTCAGGGAGAGGAGCAGAAACACAGGTCTAAGGGTTGAATATGGCTAATGTCTGTGAACATGTCACTGGCTTAATTCTCTGAAAATAAAATGCAGAGTTGTTTTGTTTATAAAAAAATGATTAAAAATGAGAAATCATCCTATATAAAGAAAGGCACAGTGAGGGAGGAATATACAGTAGTTGTCACTGTCATTCCTTGAGAACAATGCTGCGTGGAACTTTCTAGATTGATTCTCAAATGATCTCTCTTTGAGACAGTCTTTCAGTGTTTCTAGGTCTGATTTTGACAGACATATTTAATATTAGGAGTCTTGTTCCTTTCCTTAGAAGCTTCACTCATTTCAGTGTGTGCCTTTACATAGATCTTGATTTTTAAAAGTCAAAGAATGTGGTCTAGAGAGATGGCTCAGTACTGGGTTAAGGAGCACTTGCTGCCTTGCAGAGGACCAGCATTCATTCCCCACCAACCACCTGGCATGGTAGCTTGAAGTCATCTGTAATTCCAGTTCCAGGGGATCTGATACCTTCTGACTCTTCAGGCATCAGGCATTCATGTGTTGCACATACGTGCATGCAGCCAAAACACTCATGCAGAAAATAAGACCTTTAAATCTAAGAATAAAATTTATATACAAAACTGTCAAATGAGGTGCTTCTGTTCATCTTGGCAACTATTTTGCAGGCATAGACAAGAGCTCTACCATGATTTGGCTACAGCTTAACTTGGTTTTCACTTTCTGTAATTTTATTGGTGGTATACTGTAACATGTTAGGTGTATCAGTGCTTGTGCATAGCCATGTTCATTCACCCCTCACTAAGCAGCTTGTCTAGCATAGATTGTGTTTGTGTGCACCTGCTGGTCCACCAGGCAGCCCAGCCTTCCTGAGCCATTAGAGGCTGCACTGTGGGACTGACACAGGAGCAAGCACCTGCTGATCCACCAGCAGCAAGCTAGAGTAACCATAATGAAGACAGAGGCATTCTTTTGGAATGCTGTTTTTCATACTTATTTTCAGAAGGAATCATGGATCTGTCAGATTGTTACATGAAAACTGTGAGATGCTGAACAATTAAAGTATTTCTGGTGAAATGTGTGGTGGGATTGTATCATTGGCCTCTGATTCAGCATTTATTACAATACTAATTACAATTCTAATCCCATCAAGCAATGCACAGTTCTTCCCTCCTGACGATCCTCCATCCCAGTTCCCTTCTCCCTCCCTCCTCTTTCTGAAGGTCTTAAATAGTGTGATGACCACTCAGCCCATGGCTGTGTCCTTCAGAAGAAGGTGGCAACTGGTTTTGTGTTTCACACCTTCACAGGTGTGCACTTACACACCACAGACCCCCGTAGTGTGCCCTCACTAACAGTTATCACCTCACAAAGGCTTCCTGTTACAAGCAAGTTGGACTGTTTGACACCGAATGTGTGGAGGAGGAACATAGGTGGCCATGCTTAAAATCAGATCTTCAGTTAATTTTAAAACACATTTTACAAGCACAAAAAAAAAAATTGCTTTGTGAATTTTTCGGGCAACAGTTAGGGCTGAATTATAGGAGAGTGTCCACATAACAGGAAAAATATTTGAATTTATGATTTTTTTTAATTTGGAAATATGAGATTAAAATTTCTGGAATAGCTGATGGATTATGGCAGTATATATGAATGTCTACATAGTTTAAGGTCCAGAGATGATGTTGAGAAATAACAGCCCAAATAGGATCTTACACTATCGTCTATTTGATGATTCCCGAGGTGAGATATGTAACCTTTTGGATTAGCCTTTCTGTCTGACTGAAGTTGGGATCCTGTGCATAGGTAAGTTGGATATCTCTGGATGACCCTGGAGCAAGCTGCCTTCCCAGACTCCCCACTGGGTGGCCCTGCACAGACAGGTGAGGTACCATTTTAGTCTCTTACACCCAGTGTTCATTCTCTAGAAGACCTGCCTCCTATTAGCCAATCTGCAGTCCATTTAGTGTTTCACATCTGGCACAACATAGAGACACAGAGACTGACATGATGACACATTCTGCCTCCAAAGGCATATTTACCTGAGTCTGTACTGTCAGGTCTCTCATTTAAACCTCGGTTTTACAGAGGTGGGCCCGAGGCCCCTAAATTGTTACTGACAAACTGGCATTTCAATCCAGACTTCTGGCCCCTGAGCCCACATTCTTAATCTGAGTCACCATGTTAAAACTGAGACTTGTGTTGTTCCATGATGGGGCAAGTGTGATCGCCGCCCAGACCAGATGGGAATTGGGAAGACGCTCACCAGCACTGGCTCACCCTTTCCCAGACAGCATCGAGTTACTCCCTTTTCTAAGACGCAGCTGCTCCTGCATAAACCGTGTAGCTTCTGATTTGAGAAGAGTTTCCTCCACCCCTCATCCTGTCCTCATAGACGTGCTACATGTTACTTTCCAGCCTCCCAATTGTTTTGGAGCCTCACATCAGGGAGTTTTTAGAACTTTGGGGAAACAGTACATGAGTGATCTAGAGTTTCAGTGTAGCCTGTGTCTTGTCTCAGTCCAGCAAAGGCCAAAGCATTTCTGGGTGGAAGTTACCATTTTCCTTTCCTGTAAGCGTCTCTCATAGCCACACCCTCATCTCCCTCATCTTCAGAGTAACTTGGATCCAAGTGCTTTTTTTTTTTTTTTTTTTTTTTTTTTTTTTTTTTTTTTT